CCCCTCCCTTGGGCTTTTTTGGTCTTTCCATAGCTCCTTGCTGGTCTTTCCATAGCTCCTTGTCTGGTCTTTGCCCTTTAGCTCCCTGCTGGTTTCTCTGTTAGCTTCCATGATGTCCTTTCCATTAGCTCCCTGCTGGTTGCTCCTGTTAGCTCCATGATGTCTTTCCAATTCGCTCCTTCTGGTTTCTGGTTCTCTGTTAGCTCCATGATGTCTTTCCAGTTAGCTCGCTGCTGGTTTCTCTGTTAAGCTCCATGATGTCTTTCATTAGCGCCCTGCTTGGTTTCTCTGTTTAGCGTCCATGAGGTTCTTTCCATTAGCTTCCTGCTGGTTTCTCTGTTTAGCGTTCCATGATGATCTTTCCATTAGCTCCCTCTGGGTCTCTGTTATCTTCCATGATGTTTCTCCATTAGCTCCCTGATGGTTTCTCTCACTAGCTCCCTGCTGGTTTCTCCATTAGCTCCATGATGTTTCTCCCCATTAGCTCCAGGATGGTTTTCTTCCACTAGCCTCTCTGCTGTTATCCTCCACTATCTTTCACTGCTGGTTTCCTCTGGGTAGCTCCATGATGTCTTTCCATTAGCTCCCTGCTGTCACTCTGTTAGCTCCATGATGTGTCTCCATTTTAGCTCCATGATGGGTTTCTCCACTAGCTCCCTGCCTGGTTTCTCTGTTAGCTCTATGATGTCTTTCCATTAGCTCCCTGCTGGTCTCTGTTAGCTCCATGATGTTTCTCCATTATCTTCCATGATGGTGTTCTCCATTAGCTTCCCTGATGGTTTCTCTCACTAGCTCCCTGATGGTTTCTCCACTAGCTCCCTGCTGGTTTCTCCATTAGCTCCCTGCTGTTTTCTCCATTAGCTTCCCTGCTGGTTTCTGTAGCTCCATGATGTGTTCTTCTCCATTAGCTCCATGTGGGTTCTCCATTCGCTCCATGATGTTTCTTCTCCACTAGCTCCCTGCTGGTGTCCTCCATTAGCTCCCTGCCTGCTTTCTCCAGTAGCTCCCTGCTGGTCTCTGTGTAGCTCCATTGATGTGTTTTCTCCATTAGCTCCATGATGGTTTCTCCATTAGCTCCCTGCTGGTTTTCATCCACTAGCTCCCTGCTGGTTTTCTCCACTATCTCCCCTGCTTGTTTCATTCTCTCAGTGGTTTTGTCTAGCACCCTGCTGGTTTCTACCTAGCTAGCTCCCTGCTGGTTTCTCCATTAGCTTCCCTGCTGTTTCTCCACTATCTCCAGGATGGTTTCTCCATTAGCTCCCTGCTGGGTTCATCCACTATCTCCAGGATGGTTTTCTTCCATTAGCTCCAGGATTGTCTCTCCAGTAGCTCCCTAATAGTTTCATTTCTCCACGTAGTACTCCGGCTGGTTCTCCCACTAGCTCCCCTGCTGTTTTCTTCCATTAGCTCCATGAATGGTTTCTCCACTAGCTCCCTGCCTGGTTTCTCTCCATTAGCTCCATGAATGGTTTCTCTCCACTAGCTCCCTGCTGGTTTCTCCACTAAGCTCCCTGCGTGTTCTTTCTCCACTAGCTCCATGATGGTTTTCTCCACTAGCTCCCTGCTGGTTTCTCAGCTAGCTCCAGGATGGTTTCTTCCATTAGCTCCATGATGTCCTCTCCATTAGCTCCCTTGATGGTTCTCCACGTAGCTCCATTATGGTTTTCTTCCACTAGCTCCCTGCTGTATTTCTCCAGTAGCTCCTGATGGTTTCTTCCACTAGCTCCCTGCTGTTTTCTCCATTAGCTCCATGATTGGTTTCCTCCGTTAAGCTCCCTGCTGGTATTCTCCACTAGCTCCAGGATGGTTTCTCCATTAGCTTCCATGATGGTTTTTCTCCACTAGCTCCGTGCTGGGGCTCTGTTTAGCTCCATGATGGTTTTCTACCATTAGCTCCATGATGTTTCCTCCTCTACTTAGCTCCATGAAGTTTTCTCCATTAGCTCCATGATGGTTTCTTTCTCCATTAGCTCCATGATGGTTTTCTTCCATTATCTCATAATGTTCTCCACTAGCTCCCTGCTGTTTCATCCACTAGCTCCATGATGGTTTTCTCCATTAGCTCCATGATGGTGTCTTTCTCCACTAAGCTCCCTGCTCGGTTCTCTGTTAGTTGCCATGATGTCGCTCCATTAGCTCCATGTGATGTCTCTCCATTAGCTCCATGAATGGTTCTCTCACACTAGCTCCATGATGGTTTCTTCTCCACTAGCTCCAATGATGGGTTTCTTTCCACTAGCTCCCTGCTGGTCTCTGTTAGCTCCATGATGGTCCTATCCATTAGCTCCATGATGGTTTCTTTTCTTCTCCACTAGCTCCCTGCTGGTCTCTGTTTAGCTCCATGATTGTCCTCTCCATTACGCTCCATGATGGTTTCTCTCACTAGCTCCCTGCTGGTTTCTCCAATATCTCCATGATGGTTTCTCCATTAGCTCCATGATGGTTTCTCCACTAGCTCCCATGCATGGTCCTCTGTTAGCTCCATGATGCTTTCTGGTCCCATTAGCTCCATGATGTCTCTCCATTAGCATCCATGATGTTCTCTCCATTAGCTCCATGATGGTTTTTCTCCACTAGCACTCCTTGATGTTTCTCCACGAGCTCCCCTGCTGGTCTCTGTATAGCTCCATGATTGTCCTCTCCATTAGCTCCCTGATAGGTTTCTCCACAGCTCCCTGCTGGTCTCTGTTAGCTCCATGATGGGTCTCTGCCATTAGCTCTATGATGGTTTTTAATCCACTACCCTCCTGCTGGTCTCTGTTTAGCTCCATGGGATGTCTCTCCATTAGCTCCCTAGGAAATGGGTTTTCTCCACTAGCTCCCTGCTGGTCTCTGTTAGCTTCCAATGATGTCCTCTCCATTAGCTCCATGATGGTTTCTCCACTAGCTCCATGATGGTTTCTCCACTAGCTCCCTGCTGGTCTCTGTTAGCTCCATGATGTCCCTCCATTAGCTCCATGATGGTTTCTCCACTAGCTCCCTGCTGGTCTCTGTTAGCTCCATGATGTCTCTCCATTAGCTCCATGATGGTTTATTCACTCAACTCCCAGCTGCCTGCTGTCCCTCGTTAGCTACCTGATGTCTCTTCTCCATTAGCTTCCATGAAAATGGTTTCTCCACTAGCTCCCTGCTGGTCTCTGTTAGCTCCATGATGTCTCTCCATTAGCTCCCATGATGGGTTTCTTCCACTAGATCCCCTGCTGGTGTCTCTCTCACTAGCTCCATGATGTCTCGTCGCTTAGCTCCATGATGTCTCTCCATTCGCTCCATGATGTCCCTCTTCATTATGCTCCATGATGTCCTCGTCTTAGCTCCCTGATGGTCTCTGTTAGCTCCATGATGTTTCTCCATTAGCTCCATGATGTTTCTCCATTAGCTCGATGATGGTTTCTCCACTAGCTCCATGATGGTCTCCTTGTTAGCTCAATGATGGTCTATCCATTAGCTCCCTGCTGGTCTCTGTTAGCTCCATGATGTCTCTCCACTAGCTCCATGATGTCTCTCCATTAGCTCCATGATGGTTTCTCCACTAGCTCCATGATGGTTTCTCCACTAGCTCCCTGCTGGTCTCTGTTAGCTCCATGATGTCTCTCCATTAGCTCCATGATGGTTTCTCCACTAGCTCCCTGCTGGTCTCTGTTAGCTCCATGATGTCTCTCCACTAGCTCCATGATGTCTCTCCATTAGCTCCATGGTGGTTTCTCCACTAGCTCCCTGCTGGTCTCTGTTAGCTCCATGATGTCTCTCCATTAGCTCCATGATGGTTTCTCCACTAGCTCCCTGCTGGTTTCTCCACTAGCTCCATGATGTCTCTGCATTAGCTCCATGATGTCTCTCCATTAGCTCCATGATGTCTCTCCATTAGCTCCCTGCTGGTCTCTGTTAGCTCCATGATGTTTCTCCATTAGCTCCATGATGTTTCTCCATTAGCTCGATGATGTTTCTCCATTAGCTCCATGATGGTTTCTCCACTAGCTCCATGATGGTCTCCTTGTTAGCTCAATGATGGTCTATCCATTAGCTCCCTGCTGGTCTCCCTGTTAGCTCTGTTAGCTCAATGATGGTCTCTCCACTAGCTCAATGATGGCCTCTCCATTGTCTCCATGATGGTTTTTCTGTTAGCGTTACACTTGTCTCTCCACTAGCTCAATGATGGCCTCTCCATTGTCTCCATGATGGTTTTTCTGTTAGCGTTACACTTGTCTCTCCACTAGCTCAATGATGGCCTCTCCATTGTCTCCATGATGGTTTTTCTGTTAGCGTTACACTTGTCTCTCCACTAGCTCAATGATGGCCTCTCCATTGTCTCCATGATGGTTTTTCTGTTAGCATTACACTTGTCTCTCCACTAGCTCAATGATGGCCTCTCCATTTGTCTCCATGATGGTTTTTTCTGTTAGCGTTACAATGATGGTCTCTCCTCAAACTAGCTGCTGGTTGTTTTTTCCAATGATGGCCTCTCCATTGTCTCCATGATGGTTTTTCTGTTAGCATTACACTTGTCTCTCCACTAGCTAGCCTCATGCTGGTAACAGACATTATTATTGATAATTTAGAAGCTACAGATAGATCACTTTGCAGCAAGCGGTGGAGAACAAGATAAAACAGTCGACTATTGTAGATAAGATGAAGCAACAAAGAAATTTCAGCGTGATCAAACAAACAAAGGTTGATCAGAGCTTTCTTCTGGCAGTACACAGCAGAACACGGTACCAGATCCTTATTTAGGCATTATGTTTTAACGCTACTGTTGTTGTCATTTTCTGGTGAGTACCATCACAGCAGCAACTATTGTAAATACTTTGTGATGAGTACTGGCTTCTCCCTGGGTGTGATTAAAAAAACACAATTGTAGATGAGTTGAAACAATTCTTATTCTTTTGCACTCACCCGTAAAAGGATGGTTGGAAGGCTGTGTTGTAGTTTATAGGTAAGCCATGATATCCCCACATTTTTGTCCAACACATGAGATTTCAGCAAACTCTGATTTAGTCGCCTTTTAACGCACACTTTGTTAGGGATTAATGTGTGTGCTATTCTACACATAGCCGGTAACCAAAACAGGAAGTAAAAACAATAAATTCTGGAATACTGTTGAGTCACATTAAAGTACTGTTTCTCCTGTCAGATTTAAACGGAAATAATAATAATAGTCTCTCCATTAGCTTGATTTTTAGAGATTATTATTGATTGATTGTTAGAGATTCACTCTTGTTAGTTTCTTTCTTCCTGCAAATTCTTCTTCTTCTTTTGTTTACTTGAATAGATTATTTATATCTGCAGTGTTGTCTCCAGTATGAACTTCAATGTCTATTGTAATTCAATCAGCGACCCATAAAGTTTGGCTTGCACCTGATGTTTCTTTTGGCCAAAAGATTCCTTGATATGTTGTATTTGGGACAGTCTTGGAGGATGTGATCTGTTGTCTCAGGTGCCAATCCACATGTACACATGGCTCTTCTTCCAGATATTTATTAATATCTTCCTGCAGATATCTGTACATGTATTTCTGTTTTGTCCATCCAACTGGTAGCTAATAAATTAAAACAAAATTAGAACAAGAATTATTATCAGTTTCTGATGGACATTTTTTCTGACCACAACTAGGCAACAGGGACACACAGCGGGCACTGATGTGGTACAAACTGTCGTACAATGAGCGGATGTACTGGGCCAAGGCATGTCCTGAGTCACTTCTGGCAGTGCTCAACAACATTGGCATGATTTACTTCTATCAAGGAGATTCTGGTAATTATTCCTAATTGTTGAATCTCTCTCTTCAAATGACAACAAAAATAGTACATACTGAACTTATCGACTCTAGAAACAGATAGAGCTCTAGATATTTTACTTATCACATCTCTTATAAATAGATATAACTTTTTAAGTTCTGGTTATAAATATTTTTGGTACACAGACAACTTTATAAGTTATGGATATAAATGTTCTAGACACACGTACAACTTTGGTGTTTTTTTTCCGTCACTCTTCTAGATACAGATGTAACTCTGTATGTTAAACCTGTATGTTCTTCACACCCTGTATGTTCTTCACATCCTGTATGTTCTTCACACTTTGTATGTTCTTCACACCCTGTATGTTCTTCACGCCCTGTATGTTCTTCACACCCTGTATGTTCTTCACATCCTGTATGTTCTTCACACTTTGTATGTTCTTCACATCCTGTATGTTCTTCACACCCTGTATGTTCTTCACATCCTGTATGTTCTTCACACTTTGTATGTTCTTCACACCCTGTATGTTCTTCACGCCCTGTATGTTCTTCACACCCTGTATGTTCTTCACCTAACTTTCATCTTGATGCCAGGCTATGCAGATATTTGAAGCAATGAACATGCAGCCTATCTGGTGGACAGGGCAGCTACAGTGGCTGGCCAGGCACTAGACAAGAGTGATATCTGAAATGCCATGCAAGCAGCATATTGCAAAGATGACTCTGACAGTGATCAGAAACCAGTATCAGTTGCCAGATTAGTGGATATGGGATTGCAACCTGGTGCAGTCAGCTGTGAACATTTTACTACGAGTGCAAGATGTCTGTTTAATCAACACAGAACAGGTGTAATCAGTCATTTTATGCAGGTGGAGCTGCTGAGGAGAAGATCAGAGTGCCTATGGATCTCTCCCAGAGTGATGTGATGATAGCTGTCACTAATGACTGTTTGGATTTTCTGTTTCAGTCAGTCAGGTGCCATCCCCACAGTAAAGATTGGCTGCAGTGGATCTCCAACACGCTCTGCCTCTTGTGTACACTCTCTCAGTCAGCTGTCTGTCCATCATTTGATGTTGTCCTCCCACTTGTAATGTTCTCTACCTCTTGCTGTTTTGCCCTCAACCTTTCCCTCCGGTATGGTTTTTAAAAGCATATTACATCTTTTTGTGTGGCCAAAATATTCGTCATCTTTTTTTAAAAATACATTTGTTCTTTCTTATTCTTCTTCTTGGCGTTTGGTTGCATGTGCTCAGATGAGACCGTCAGGTGGGTTGCCTCTATAAACTCGCATTTCAGCAGCCGGTCCTTCATGGCTCACAATAGCTTGCTCTTAAAACTTTGCTCTTGAGGTCAGGTTTCTTTTCAAAGTTGAAGGTAGAGTGTGAAGGTCTGCAGAATGTACTCAAGCATTTGTGGTCTTGTAACTGTACAGTCTTAATTTTATGCATGTGGCAGTTGAGCCAACCTCTCATTCAGGAGACCCGGGTTCTAATCCTCAGAAAGACTCAGGATTTTTTCCAGCCGGGGGCAAAATAAAATCCTCACCTGCACTGCTGTGGCAGTGGAACCAGCCATGCAGCCGTAAATCCTCAGGCTCAAAGACCCCCGATGCCTAAACCGCAAAAGTGGTATAGTAAAGGCAGTTAAGCCAGCAGTATCCCGTTCGTAGACGGTAAATTGTTTTATGTTGCTTTCTGTTGAGTCTGCTGATGAGGTCTTGTTGATGTTTATCTTTGGTTGGTCTTCTCCACAATTATATTATTTCTTTCAATAATTCTCTTTTTGTTTGCATTTCTTCAGAAAATTCTGTATTGTATTGTTTTTCTTTCCATAAAAATGTGACCTATTCTTCTGTGTATCCACATTTCCAAACACTCAATTTGATTTTCTAGCTGCCTGAAGTGTGTTCTATTCATCACTCTCAAAGTTGCAGACATAATTCTGTCAAATCTTTTTTTTTTTTTTTTTAAATATCCAGAAACCATGAGTTGTTAACCCTTTGGCTCGGAAAATTGGATATTGCAACCCTTCGGCCTTGATTCCATGACAGATACCATTAATCTGTGAGAAATATGGCTTTTCTGCCTACCCCAGTTGCATGAACCCAGACCACAAGGAGTTCGTCACCCGGTCACTGCGCAGTCCGGTTTATCCAACTGCGCTAGAGAGCCGGGCTGTCAATTCTTAAAAACATTAATCAAAGAAACCATTACTCATCTATATTCCATTTATCTTTTTTTCCCCCTGAGCTGCCACAGTGTAGTGGCTGGACTTTTGCCTGCAGATCTGAAGGTTGTGTGTTTGTATCCAAATTTAGCCGAACTGGTTTTTTTTTTTTCAATGGATTTAACTCATGGGTCAACCCAACCTTTAATGAGTATCAGGTAAAGTCCTGGGAAGTAAAGGTGGCTAGCGTGATGTTGACCACATCCCCCACCGAATGCCACTTGGTCTATAAAATAAAGGTCTAGCCCTATATGCCTGGAAAAGGGTCCTTTACTTTTCTTACTAGTGATCCTTCTTCTACATTCTACGCCTGATGAGATATGATGAGAAATCTGGATTGAATTCATTTGATTTGATTCAAGAACCGACATCACAGCACTCAGGGCATTCCTATAAGCGCTCTATCCTCATCTTCAGCAGCTAGCGCATAGTTCCGATACTAATGGTGCCAGTAGCATTCGGAAAAAACAAGAGCAAGTCTGTCTGCCTGTTCATTTCCCAACACACCGGCGTTTCCCGGAGAAAAAAATCCACACAATACTACTCACCAGTGTCGTCCGCGGTGAAGTATGCCACTCTGTGCGAAGCATGCCTGTTCTGACCTTCCTCATCATGCTTTCTGAATCAGTTATAATCACGATGTGTGTGTGTGTGTCATGTTCTCTAACCAGCGGAAAGCTGGCAGAGATAACTCCAAGTCAAGTTGCCTGTTAAACCTGCTGTTAATGCTGTCTATACAGAGGAATGCATGAAGTACCTGGAGAAAGCCCTGGCCATCCGTCGAGAATGTGGCTGGACGCACTACAACACAGGACTTACCCTGGTCCATGTCGCGGAGATCAACATGAAAGTGTAAGAAGACTTTGTTAGTTTGTCTGAGTGGTGTGTGAACCTGTCATCTCTTGCCAGATGTTGCTACCAGTGTCTGCAGTAATGTCACTTGAACCCATACCTTTCTTGTTGCATTCCCTTCTCAATAAAATCACTGGCTTTCATTGCTTGAAATCACGTCTACAGTCCAGGAAGGTCAAGGACCCTGTCAACACCACTGAGACAGGGGCATATGATGCTAAACCCATCATTTAAAGACCTTTCAGCACTTGATGGCTACACAAAAAGCAGAGGCTGGGAGAATCTTCCAGGCTATAAACCGAGAGTTTCTTAGCAAAAGAGAAATTGGCAAGAGGACGAAAAAGTCTGTTTACCGCTCTACCAGTCCTGACCTATGGGTGTGAGTCATGGGCAATGACAGCAGCCCACAGAAGCCAGCTGCAGGCCTCGGAAATGAGATATCTGAGAAAGGTGGTCGAAGTGACAAGAAGGGACAAAGTCTGCAATCAGACAATACGTCAAGATCTTGATACACAGTCCTTACAAACCCGAGTGGATCAGTCACAGTAACGATGGTTTGGACATGTATGCAGAATGGGAGAAAATCGGCTACCATGGCAGGCATGGAAGGCTAAGAACCAGTGAACCAGACCTCCAGGACGACCCAGGGTGCTCTGGGAAGACAACATCCATCAGTCCCTGACAGAGGACTGGAATGGAACAAAGCCAGAAAGAAAACTGCTGATAGAGACGTCTGGCAATCTCTCTGGCAAACCTTTACACCCCAAGGTAGAAGAGGAGAGACAAAGTAAGTCAGCACTTGATGATGATGTGGTCACCATCACACCAGCCACCTTTACTTTCCTGAATACTTTCTGGATATAGATTTATGCTGGGTCAACCTAGGACCCCAGTTTAGACTGGGTCCACCTGTTATCCCAGTTCAATTATAAAAATCTACCTCAACAGGGACATGAACCCCAGACCTTCAGACTCACAGACAGGCATCTAGCCATTTCCCTACTGCAGCTGTAAGAGCTACATACAGTTAGAAACTACTTTTCCATCTGGGTGTGGAACCCAAGTCACTTTGCTGGTATGCCAGTGTATCATCTACTGTACCATCATGGTGGTTATATAGCACTTACTTAGATTCATAGCAGTGACAATTTCTCACCTTTATAATAACCACGTTCCCTCCCCACCCCAATTGGATACCCCATTGGATCTCTGTTGACTCGCTCTTGGATTAGTTATCAGAATATCATGAAGAGATAGAAACACAAACAAAGTGGTCCTTCTTGAAACAGAAAGAAGTCATCTTCTTCTTCGCGTTCACCAGCTGTACACTCTGGTGGAAAGTTCTGGTTGTTCGTCCACTTCTGAACTGCAGTCCTGCTCCAGAACCTGAGTGTTGCATGTGCATCAGTTTTACAGATATGATTCACTTGAATGCAGACAGTTGGTTCCTTGCCTCTCAGGCAGATGCACTCCGACTTCAAAGGATGCTCCCCAATTAGTCGACTCTTACGACATGCTTTTGGGTAGGCATAGGGTCTATTCTTGTTTTCCCCACGATGGGCCCCAGGAACCCACTTGGGAATAGAAGTCATAAACTGGTTAGAGAAACTAAACAGTATTTTTTGGACATGTTTTGAGAAGTAAGTAAGATCTGCACTGTATCATGCTGTGCCCTGTCTTAATTTGGAACGATATCACTAAGTATGATATCTTTTAGAATATTGATAGTTACCAGATTTTTTGAATTTGCAAATCATTGAGTTGACAGTGCAAGCCTACACGTATGTTGTTTCTTTTTCAGAGGTCATTTGGTTGAAGCCTTTAAGTTATTGCTGGAAGCGGAGAGGATTTTTGCTGCTACAGTCAAAGACCATGATATGAGACTGCGTGTGAACTTTGACCTGGCTCACATACGAGTCCTTATCAGACAGGCTCTAGAGCCAAGAGATGCGGCCAGAGAGTTCTCCAGGAGGATGCAGTCACAAGAAAGCTATGGGCAGGATGAACGACCAGCAGAAGGATCAAGCTCCCAGGAGAGAGATGTAGAGCTGAAGGGATTACTACTGATGCCTGCAGTAGGACAGGACAGAGAAAAACATCCTGGGACACCAGTGGTGATTCTGTAACTAGCTCACAGCTTTTGGAAGCTGGCTCTGCCAGTCAGCAGTTCACAAACGCCACACATCATCATCATCATCATCGCCAGCATTCAGAAAACAGTTCCCTGCCATTTCCAGCCTCTGAGGACACCCTGCGCATCAGTGCAGCAGACATTGAACCTTGCGATTTAAGGATGTCAGCGTCAGACTACTTTGAGAGAATTCTGGCAGTAGCCAGCACGATACAAGGAACACTGAGTGACGATGGACTCTCCATTGTGTTATGTTCACATGAGCACCTGATGCTGCTCAATTTGGGCAATGCTCCTGAGAAGTTTGAAGAACATCGAACTGCAATTGCGTCATTTAGTGCAGATAACCCGTGGCTGGATGTGGATGGAGACACGGACACAGGTGTAGACTCCACGTACAGGTGTTTGATCAAACACAAACCTTTGTACAGTTACGTCCAGAGAACACCATACGAAAGTTTGGATATCCCAACTTTCATACAGCACATGATGAAAGCGTGTTTGACCTGCAGATTTATTGACGATGCCTGTAGGGTGGAAACTTGGAAGACTGAGGCAGTAAACTGCATACAGAATAGGGAAAACAGAAAGAGATGGACGGAAGAATCTGATAGAGTAAGATCCAGCACTCAGAGTGGCCGAACAGGAAATGACATCACAAGTTCTGCTGCTGTAAGTAAAGAAGCCGAGGGCAGTACTTATATGTTGCCGAGATTTAACCAGAATTGTGTTTCTTCAATGTTCAATGCACAAAATGTCTCATTCACAAGAAGTGAAACAAGAGCTCTTCCAGACTTTAAGGAGTTACTGTCATCTGAAAATTTGGTTGATGATGGCGACAGAGTTGTGGGAGTACAGTATCCTATAGCCATTGGTCAGGGGGAAGGTCATCGACAAACACCAAATCAGTTTTTGAATCAGTCATCTCTAGTGTCGCCAATAATTGCCAGAACACAGGAAGAGATTCTGAAGACCATACAGAGCATGAGGAACTCTTGTTTACTTGCAGCTGGTATGGAAGCAGAAAAGAGTTTGCCAGGTGACTCTGGTGTTTGTAGGAAGAATTATCATGATAGAAGAAGTACAGCTGTCCCAGATGTCTTGACCTGCAGAGAGCCAGTTGAGCAGAGTTACCACTGTGAGCTAGAACCTAACAGGTTTGGCGATGGAAATCTTCAACAAAGGGGCACAATTGTCTCCAGACAGACATTAGCATCCACTGACATTCACAATTACAGAGCTCAACCTTTCAAGGAATCTCAGACAGAAATAGAGAAATTAGGCCACAGAAAAAATCGCAACAGTCAGTGGAGCAGTCCTAGAAGACCGATATCAGAGGGGATTGAGTGTAAAAGCAGACAGGTTCTTGCGGATGCTGACCGTGGAAATGTTGTACCTGACCGTGTTAGTGATGAGGTTTTGCCTGATGAATTAAACAAATCCCAGCTGGTGCTAGAGTTATGCAGGTCAGACCAGACATCACAAAGTGACCTGACTTCTGGTAAAATTGTTGATCTTTGTATCAGCATGAGTGAACAAACGTCTGGGCAGAACTCTCCAGGGAATAAAATTAGCAAAGCTCAGAATGATACATTTTCTGTGCTCGAGTACATCAGAAATAGCTTTAACACTGATATGTACACGAGTACCGAGCCAGCAGCAACGGCTAGCAGCAGTCAGCAAGAAGAAACTCAGCAGTTGCCATGTGAGGACATTCAGGTTGCAGGAGTCCAAGGAGAGAAGGCAAATGGAAGGCATGCAGGATCAAAGGTCAGCAGCAGCAGACCAGGTCTGGGTAATAGAACTTTGCCGTCTGCCTCTCCATCGAGCCAACCTTTTGATGCTGCCCTGTATTTAGAAAACTATCTGCATCTACTTACAGCTTCTGCTAGCAAACATGAACAGCAATCCATGACTGAAAGGCAACCTCAAAGTCTTCAACCACGGCCGCATCTTCAGTGTCTGGGCGGTACGGATTTACCTGACGGCTCTCGGGACAGTGGCCGTGTTTCAGCGTTGGTTCATAATATGAATAATAGTGAATGTGCAAACAGGCCTACTTCTAACTGTGGGAGTAGTGCATTTTCAAGGTCAAGGGTCATGAGTTCATCATCGCTGTTGAGTTCAGGTCATCATGCATTCAGTCATGGGACTTCTGCCAGTGAAAGTGGTTACTCATCGGAACAACAGCTTACATGCCTAACTGGCATGTTAAAAGCTAGACCAGTCGAAGGTGCATTATCTAGTCCCAGGTATCACCAGAAACATGTTTCAGATCCATGTATCAATCATGCATTTAGTGATCACTTTCCCTCCTCCGATGGCTTGCTGACAGAAGCAGGCCGCACAGATACTGACACCAAGATGTCTGGCAGAGAATGCAGTCCAACTGAAAGAATGCTGGCAATGTTAACCTACATACAGACCCTGGCACAGATGCCCAGTTTTCCAGATCAGTCTGTGTTCTCACAAGCTGATGTACAGCTACCTCAAGCTGAAGATTCACAAACAGATAACCAGGTTCCTGACATCCGAGCCTCTTTACTCCCAGAGAACTCAAACAGTTTGATATTCCGGGAAGCAGTCGAACAATCCTGGAATGAAACACTGATGCCAGATTTCACCCAATTTTCAGCAGAGGTCGGTGATATGTCTGCTTCTGGTATGATTCGACCAGAACTTCTGCTCGTCGAAAACCAAATACGCCAACGTGAGTATGACAGCTCTCCAGACAGCGAGGAAGTAACATTAGCAGAAAACATGAGATCTTTACAAAGCTGATTCTTTGAGCAGTTTTGGGATGTTCTAATAATCTCTAAGACCTTTTGATTTGTTTACGTTGGGCAAGACAAGGCACACTGTATACAGTCAGCTCTATCTATGGCAGGGCTGTTCAACTAGGTTAATTTAGGGACCAAAATTGTGTAAATGGAGACCCCATCATGGGCAAGAGGCTCAATCGCCAGCATAGAAGGGTCATTAATACACTACCACTGGCGATGATCCGTGGGCCGTTTGCTAGTCTTCTGAGGGCCAAATGTAGCCCGGGGGCTGCCAGTTTGAACAGCCCTGGTCTAGGGGAACAGTTTTGTTGGGGCACATCTTAGCACTGTTGACAAGTTCTGTTCTTGGAAGATGAGTATTTGTATTGAAATATATATATATATGTGTATATGCACATATAAACGTGTACCTTCAGTCGGTGGTCTATGACAATGAGAACATGTTAGCTCATGATTCACATACTCACACGACAGTTTTGTATGTCAACATATTGTCTGCATGTCCACAGATGAAAGAACAGTTATGACCTGGTTACTAAGAGTACTTCTCCAGAACTTTTTACAAAACAACAAAGACATAACGAAATAATGATTAGGTTCCTGTGAATAAGAGCACAAATGACATAAAGCCATTGGTCACAAGAAGTGAAAGAGGACTGGGAGTGAATGTCTCCTACACCAGGCTCCTGCGTCTGCTCCGATCCTCCATATTTCGTGAGAGGTGAAAGAGGTTTGGAATGAATGTCTCCTACACCAGTTGTTTCTGTGATTATATCTGCTCTGATCCTTCAGACTTTGCGAGAGGTGAAAGAGGTTTGATATGAATGCCTCCTACACCAGTTGTTTCAATGATTGCATCTGCTCTGATCCTTCAGACTTTGCGAGAGGTGAAAGAGGTTTGATATGAATGCCTCCTACACCAGTTGTTTCAATGATTGCATCTGCTCTGATCCTTCAGACTTTGCGAGAGGTGAAAGAGGTTTGATATGAATGCCTCCTACACCAGTTGTTTCAATGATTACATCTGCTCTGATCCTTCAGACTTTGCGAGAGGGGAAAGAGGTTTGATATGAATGGCTCCTACACCATTTGTTTCAATGATTGCATCTGCTCTGATCCTTCAGACATTGCGAGAGGGGAAAGAGGTTTGATATGAATGCCTCCTACACCAGTTGTTTCAATGATTGCATCTGCTCTGATCCTTCAGGCTTCATGAGAGGTGAAAGAGGTTTGGACTTGAATGTCTCCCACACCAGGCTCTAGTCCATTTGTTTCTAAGATTGTATCTGCTCTGACAATCTAAACTATCAGCTGTGTGCAGATGAAGGGATTATGAGACCATCAAAACTGGAATTTTTGAATCCTACTTGTGTGCACAAAAGATTCAATAGGGCAGCAGCTTATTCTATTGGACATACATTTATCAACTAGAATAGTGTTTCTGTTGTCGTTCGAAGCACTGGCCCATCATGCCTCTCCACAATCTGAGATCTTCAACATCATGTATCAGTTATTATAGGGTAAACAAAAATAGACCCACTGTCCATCCTCATGTGGGTCCTGGGGCCCTATTAAAGGGAAATTGATTAGACCCGCTGTTCATCTCCGTGTTGGTTCTGGGGCCCTATTATAGAAAAAATAAGAATAGACCCATTGTTCATTCCCGTGTGGGTTCCGGGGCCTTATTATAGGGAAAACGAGAAAAGAACCACTGCCTACCCAAAAGCATGTTGTAAGAGTCATCTCATTGGGAGCTTCCTTTGAAGTCGGGGTGCATCTGCCTGAGAGGCAAGGAACCAACAGTCTGCATACAAATTAGTGAAATCTGTCCCAACAGATGCACACGCAACACTCAGGTTCTGGAACAAGTCCAGAAGTGGACTGACTAACAATCAGAACTTTCCCCTGGAGTTTACAAGCTGAGACCTATTCTTTCTACCATTAGCATATCCATTCAAACTCTCTCGCCGACTTGTCGTTATCAAGACGGTCTCATCAGCGTGATGTAGGTTGTTTGTATTATGACCACAACATCCAGCTTGAGAATGGAGGTGGAGGCAGTCACTGCAGCTTTTCACTGGTTAGAGAAATGACACACACATCGTGGTTGTAACTGACTCAGAAAGCATGCTGAGGAAGATCAGGACAGGCATGCTTTGTGCAGAGTGGCATGCCTCGCTGCTGAGAACATGGGTGAGGAGTATTGTCTGGATTTTTTTCTCTGGGATATGCCGGTGTGTTGGGAAATGAACAGGTAGACAGACTGGCTGGCTGGCTCTGCACAACTTGGTGGAATACTGATGCATGATAAGGCAGATGGGGTTAGTGCCTTGTGGCGCACCAGTCTGGTTAGACTGATGCAGGGGGGGGGAGTGGCGAGAGGTTCTGGCAGAGGCTCAGAATGCTGCATATGCCCATTATATCATGTGGATATTTACTAATAGCACCCCCTCTGAAATGATCCAAAATCCTAGCACACCCCAAATATATCAACACGTTTCTTATAGTCCCTCCCACTTTGTTGTGTGTGTTCTAACACTCCATGCTTCTCAACCTTCCTACAGCTGCTCCCCCTTTCCCAACCATAGTTTATTTTCGTTGCTACTTCATAACTTCAGTGAATATTTGTTTCCCCCCCCAATGGTCTTTGGCAACCCCTGTGAGAGGCCGTTCAGCCCACAGGTTGAGAACTGCTGTGATTGCTATAGTTTTATTGGCAAGCTTACACATCATCTGTGTAAGTGTGATGTAAACCTCAGCTGAAAGTAAATTTGTGTAACCCATATAAATGTGTTTACTTAGGTGTGTGTTGTTTTACTTTTCAGTACATGTTCATGAGTATATGCTCCGAATAAATGTTTATTCTCAGTAACTGAGTTGTTCAGTGGCATTTTATTCTGTGGGTAAAACTGTTTACTTGGTGGGTAAAACTGTTTACTTGGTGGGTAAAACTGTTTACTTGGTGGGTAAACTGTTTATTCGGTGGGTAAAACTGTTTACTTGGTGGGCAAACTGTTTATTCGGTGGGTAAAACTGTTTACTTGGTGGGCAAACTGTTTACTTGGTGGGTAAAACTGTTTACTTGGTGGGTTTATTCGGTGGGTAAAACTGTTTACTTGGTGGGCAAACTGTTTATTCGGTGGGTAAAACTGTTTACTTGGTGGGTAAACTGTTTATTCGGTGGGTAAAACTGTTTACTTGGTGGGTAAACTGTTTATTCAGTGGGTAAAACTGTTTACTTGGTGGGCAAACTGTTTATTCGGTGGGTAAAACTGTTTATTCGGTGGGAAAACTGTATTACAATTTCCTTTTATTCTTCTGGAACAAATTGCTTATTATCATGTCTGACTCATGACTGGACATAGCTCTGTCCTGTACCTCCAGTCACATCAGACAAGAAATGACAAGTCACAGGAAGACTCGGGAGAAGACAAGTCACAGAACACAAGACAGACTCTAGACATGACTTCACTTTTATCAGCTGTCAACTCCGGCGGGATCATCAGATTTTTTTTTGTCCGCCTGTGAGACTTTTTAGTCTTGTTCCAGAGCTTGCATCCTCATTTTATATACCTGGCTTTATGCAGAATGTTGGTATGTTGCTTCTTAAGCATGGGCAGACATCAAACAATACAAGTCACAGAAAAAACACAAAGATCAACAGCCCAACAGATTTTACACATACATTTTTTTCAGTTAGTACCTCTCTCACACACACACCTGAACAAGACGTAGTTTTTACACAGACATTTGCACACACAAAGAACAACAGACCATAAATATAGTTTACATAGAAATTTACCTTTGAATATACATAAAAACTAAAGAATTTGTAACAAACAATGCTTATTAAAAATAATGCAAAGAGAAGAAAATTGTTGAGAATGAATGATGACCAATACATATGACGACTAAGTCCAGGTGAGAATACAAGTTCAAATCTAGGGCATCCCCAAATCTCTAGTGGAGACTCAACAACGATCATCAATGAAGCAACACGACAGAGAAGCTCAACAAACTAGAATTAAATACTCTCTGCTACATCAATACATGTGTTAACACTAGATATCAACAGAACATATACGTACACAGAAAGAATCCAGTACCGTACAATAACATGTTCATATGTACAGGTAAAAAAGACCACGCACCATTAACGGGCCAGTGTTTTCAAACAATAATAATAACGAAGCCAAAGATAATGCTTTTCGCAATGAACAAGGAAAACGAACTAAAATAAGTCTTGGTAACAAACATGGAGCAATCTAATTAAAATAACTGGAGTACAATAGTGATAAAATGACCATATTTGTTATAGTGATAAAATATGACCATATGAATGATAGTGATGATAATAATAGAAGCACAAAACAATATTGTGAGGCTAAATGTGGTGTTGCAGCACCGACAACTATGTACACAAGACAGCAACAGCAGACAACAAGGAGAGGGGTGCTGGCACACAACACCTCATACAGCAAGCGCACATACACACAAACACAGTCTAGGTACTGATTGCAGGATGCAGTGACTCAACAAATACTTATACTTCCCCCAGGCTGGCTATCTTAGAAACAATATTTCTTCATTGAAGATTTGACACAGATTATACTTCTGTTTCTGTATTTATCCGAAGATGTCAATGCACTGTGCCTGTTTACGACACAGCTGTGATGTGATGCAGACACATATGCATACATTTGTTGCCCAGTATCTTTCTTAGAATTAATTATACTGAACTCTTTCTCCCAGATTTAAGGTGTCTATCATGGAATCAAGGTAAGGGTTGCGGTATCCATAGTACCGAGCCAAAGAGTTACCAACTCATGGTTTCTAGATATTTTTTTAAAAAATGTATTCACACAGGCTAATTATCCTCCGCACACTAGTCTACTCTGTGTGTTCACTGGCTCATACTTTACAACTGCTAACTATACACTTGTTTTCATTGAACATCTATACATCACAAAAGCTAGCTATCCCAGGCTTGGTTCAATA